TGATTGAAGGGATAGACGTATAAGTAAATACAAAACACAACACGACGGAATGACTGATACCTATCATTCCAACCGCAAACTGCAACCACATCTATCACGAACCCAAAAACAACCCCCCCCCCCCCCATCAACCCCATCACTCAAAAATACGTATCCCAGGGATGTGAATGAGCATGACCAACCCCCCTCCCAAACCAAAGCGGGAAGATACATCTCTCCATCCAAGCATCTCCCCTCCCTCCACCCATCTATTTCATCATCCTAACCCACATACTTATTATAGACAAGTCTGTCCCTCCTGCAACGGCAAAGGGACACTCCAACTCTCCTGTTGTTCGGATCGAAATTGTCGCCCCTGTAACGGAAGAGGGAGGATTACCATTGATTGTTCCATGTGTGGGGGAATGGGGACTATTATTATATGCCGGTAGAGGGAGGGAGGTAAAAAGTCCATTGATAAAAATGTGGCTGCTCCGGCAGCGATTGGAATTTGCCTAATAAGATTTTTTTTTTTCTTTTTTTCACGCCACTTTCTTCCAACATTCTTGGAATTATTAGCATTTGCCATTTTTCTCTTAAGAAAAGGGATAAATGTATCCTAACCGACAGATTATAATAATAGTATTAGATTTGCGAAGCGCTACCTACTACCTCTTAAGTCTTAAGATAAGAGGTCTATATATACTAACTAAAAATGTAAGAGTATCGATCCGCTACTATAGATAGGTTTACTACGCCCGCCTATCTACTTCTAGGGTTAGTTATAAGGCATATAGCGGTCCTATTTAAAGCCTTGGTATTATAGTATAGGCCTATAAATAAGGAGTTGTTTGCTAAGTAGAACGAGGGTCTACTAGGCCTTATCTAGAGCCTGTTTCCGCCTCTTATTATCGACCTAATCTATCTCTTTTTGCGCGTTATATACCGCCTAGTTTAACCTTACTATCGCTGTCGCTGTCGCTGTCGCTATCGCTTCTAATATATAGTAATTATAGGGCTTATTTAGCGCCTAAAGATATTAACGCGTTACTTAGTAAGCTAGAGTATAAGCGGCTAGTAAGTATATTGTTGTCGTCTCGTAATCGATAATCGCTAAGTATATAGTTGTTATTAGTTTAAGAGCCCGTTTCTACCTAATATATATTACTAAAGGCGCTAATTCTTCTACCCTCGAGACCGCGAATATTGCGTAGAAGTTAATAATATTGTCCTTAAAGGCGGTCGTCGAGTGCGTAATTAGCTAGGCGTACGAATAAGCGGCTTCGAATACGACGAATATCGACCGTTTACTACTAATATTTAGTAGATTAAGAGCCGTCCGAAGAAGCTATCCGTAGATCTAGCAAAGTAGCTGTTTTGAAGGGTTAAATTCGAGTATCGTCTTTATAAGCGCTTTATAAATAGCGGCCGCGCTAAACGCGCTAAAAGTAATGTTATCGCTAAGAGTAATATTGTCGCTATAAAGAAGTCTTTAAAGAAAGCGAGGTATCGTTAGTAGAAGCGTATCGCGTAAAGGGCGTACGATTGCCCTACGAAGTTAACTATTCTCGAGTTCTACGAGAAGGATTAAAACTATAATTTAGGCGTATTTCTCGACAATACGGTACTAGAAGGCTTACCTACGGATGTAACGGTACTAAGGCTATTATATATTATCCTTCTGCCGCTAAATAAGTGCTATTCGCACTCTCTTAAGTTTATAGATAGTATCTTAGTTAATAACGGCGTAAAGGCTATTTAGAAGGAAATCCTCGGATTTCGAGTAGGTAAGTGCGTTCTTAGCGGCTTATACGCTAATATTGACCTATCTCTAGGCTTAGCGAGTGTTGCTAAATTAGTCTATAAGATAAGAAGGCCTAAATAAGCGACAACCTAGCGAGACGTAGGTATAGTGCGGATTATACGTAATCGGGTTAGAAATACTAACAAGGCCGCAATTACTCGAATAAGCGACAAACGTAGGTCTAGCGCCGACGAGTCTACTTTACGACAGCTATAATAGGCTCTAGAATACTTGAACGCCAAATTCAGCCTCTATACTAATAATCTAACCGGTTAGGTATAGATAATCTACTTAACTAGCGATAAGAAGAGCTCGTATTAATCCGGTCTAGTTTAGGCTTCTAACTAGCAACTTTAGCTTCTTCGCAACTATAGCGGCTTGTTCTTGCTCGACTTAACCTTTAACACAAACAACCCTCTCTAGCTATTGTTTGTAGTGTGTGTTCGTAATTACTCGCAATTAGTATCTCGAGTAGCTTCCGGCTAGTTACTTCTTATTATCCTATAAGCAAGCGCACTTAATTAAGAAGGTAATAAGAACGCTCCGTTTTATAGCTAAAACGGACTTCTAACGCAAGCAGTACTTATATAACAACAATAGCTTAATCTACTACTTTCTATAGCTAATACACCTAAGTAAGGCTTCCGACAATGTCTATAAAGAGCAGTCTTAATAGATACCTCTTTAGTCTATTACAGACGACTCTGCTAGTAAATAGCAAGCGATTAAACAAGCACTAAGCGATTGCTAGATTAAATAGCGGCTTTACTAACGCTACGTTATTAAGACCTTCGAACGCTACTTTAAGAAGTATCTAGTCGCTTTTAAGGCTATATCTTATACTATATTTATTGCTCGAAGCTAAGAAGAGTATAGTTACTTTATTAAGAAGGCACTTAATAAACTAGACTCGAAGAAGGCTATTAAGAAGGCGGTATACCTACGTAACAACTAGCCGGCTTCTACGAGCGATCGCTAGTTAACTTAGGCACGGCTCGGAGACCCGCTTTTAATAGCAGTTCGGACAACCTTACTACTAGAGGGATATTATATATACTTAAAGCGCCGAGACAAGCGTTAGATACGCAAATAGAGCTTGCGAGGTGCGTATTTGTCCCCTTCTTATAGTACTATCGGAATTTTATATAAAAGAAGTCCTCTTCTACATTTCTTAAAACAGTGCGAATTTACTAGAACGGCCTCCGGCTACTCCTATACTACCTTCAACATTTATTAATTATATTCCTTCTATACTATTTCTATTAATAAAGAGGCCTATACTAACTATTATTAGGCCTAGTAATGCACCTAATACAGCTAGACACCTATATATACGAGCGCGTACGTTAAAACGGCGAAATCGACTACTAGGGTTAGCTTCCGCTATAGCAAGATAAGCACTATTCATCCTTTAAGAATCTACCTCTTTCTATATAGAAGAAGATAGCCGACGAGTTATAGCAGGTACGTAAGGACTATAATAACAACAAGCCTATATAGCGTATATATCTACCTACTAAGCACCCTAACGAGTGCACTAAATGCTTCTACTACTTCTAGTATAGCTATTACCTACCTTGCAAGTACATCTAGCGCTTCTACCTTAATAGTACGAGTTAGCTTATACGTATACGCTATAGGCACTATATTAGTCGCTTCTAAGGACCTAATAGCAACCTCGTCTACCTAGACTAGTATAATACTAAGCTAATCCTTAACGATAGTAATTAGTCTACTAGACAGGTTGTAGACCTTAATAAGCCGCCTAGTATCTATAAGCTCCGTATAGTTAAAGAATACTTCTACTCTATATAAGAAGGGCTTGTATAGACGTTCTTCTGCTTCTATAACGCTTAATCTTCTAAGCCTAATCTTAATAATAATTAGTAGTACGAGGCCCTTCTATAGTAGGTTACTTACTACTCGGAAATAGCTTAATTAGTAATAGATCTTTATATATAATAATAGCTCGAGAAGGGTACTCTATACGCTAAACTAACACCTCGCCGTAAAGCTAAGTAGCGCTTAGTTAACGATAGGCCGTTGCAACGACCTGTCTTTAAACAACCGCTAGTACTACTAACTCTACCCTTATTAGCACCCTTAGTCGCTTCGGAAGAGGCTCTGCCGTAACGGCTATTTATTATTATTAATAGCACCGCACTACCTGTCTACGGTCTAGTTAACAAGCATAATATTATTAATAACGTTAACTTTACTCTAGTCGTTATAGATAGTAACAACGACGCCGATATAAACCTCTCTAACCTTACCGATAATAATGCGCCTTATATAAGCGACGAGGACTTCTTCTAAGGCCTATGCGATATAGACCTTCTATAATCTATACTACTTAAAGCTAGTTAACTCGAGAGTAGTCGATTGCCGCTATCTTTACTAAAGGACGCTAGCAAAAGTAATTAATACAATAACGACGAGGTATTAAGGCATTAATAGCCGTTACTATCGTCCTTACTAGACGATTTGCCCTTACTAAGTAAGCTGTTTCTACCTTCTATAGTAGAGCTACCTTCTATAGTAGAGCTACCTTCTATAGTAGAGTGTTACGATCTTAGCGACTTGTATATACAATTCGAGGTTACGTAACTAAAGGTTATGTAACTTAATGCCTAAGGCATCCGCTAAGTAGATAAAAGCCTCTTCCGCGAGAGAGCCTCTCTCTCTTTCTTCTTTAACTCGTTATTAATTTAGATAGCTATTTAATTAATATCTTAATAGAATAACGAGTTCCTTTATTACCTACGATAACGTCGTAGGTGCTATCGCGTACGCCTATATAAGGAATTACGCCGCCGGCGATCGCTATCGCCCTTCTACGCTCCCTATTATACGACAGTGCTAATAGACCTATATACTAATCTATATTAGGCATAGTAAGCTACCCGATCGTAGTAATACCGCCGATTCGCTATAGATCCTTTAAGACCGCCTACCGATCGCGGTAGCGGCTCGGAATATACGAATATGCCTAACTACGTAGGAATAGCTAGGGCCCCGTTAAACGGTATACTAGAACTATTACAACTACCGCAAGGTCTACGACCTAGTCTCGCCGACATCGATAGCGTACTACGATAGCTGCTACCTAGTAGCCTTTAAGACTTCTATTAGTTCTTTAATAGGGTAAACGAGTAGAAGGCCGCTAAATATATCTTCTAGCGTATAACTAAGCTATATTAGTTAGTAGCTACACTTCGTTAGCAATACTAGTAAGAGGCAGAGACACTAGAATAGGTATAATAAGCTTATTATAAGACTAACACTTATCTTAATAGTAAGCTAGTATAGGCTTAGACTAAAGTAGAATACTAGCGTCGAGCCGCCGATTTAGTACGTAACTCCTTAGTTATTGCGTAATAGTAGCGTAATAACCTAGCTTAGTAGGTCGCTCGCCTATAATAATAATAGTCTTCCGTAGAAGATATCGCCCGACGAGCTAGTAAATAAGCCGCTCGCGCTCGTCGCGACGCCGAAGCGTCTTTATTACGTAATCTAATCGGTCGAGGACCTATATTAGATAATAGCCGACCTCTATTCCGTCGACCTCTCGACCCCTTTACCTTTTGCGACTAACCTAAGCCTCTCCGACGTTCTCGATTTAACCGTAGTATCGACGATAATAATAACTATACTAGATATAGTAAGAGCGAGAAGTATCTAGACCCCGAGAAATACGATAGAGACCGTAAAAAGCTAAAACCCTTCCTTACTAAGCTTACGATTAAGTTAACAATTAATAATAATCGCTTTCTAACGCTATAGGACCGACTAATATATACGTATAGTCGTACTACCGGTAAGGCCTGTTCTATAGTCTAACTATATATCCGTTATAACGAATACGGCGTAATTATAGACTTTAACGACCTTAACGACTTCCGTAACCTACTAGTTAACGCCTTCGGTAACCCTAACGAGGTCGCTACTACTAGCTATAAGATAGACAACTTAAAGTAGAAGAATAAGGAATTTACTTACTATCTCGTAGAGTTTAATCGACTTAACGCCTTACTTAGTTACAAAGGCCGAGCTTAAGTTAACGCCCTTAAGCGTAGCTTGTCTTCTAAATTAAAGGTAGCGCTTAGCAATATATATAATAAGCCTACTAACTTTTCGTTACTCTATCGCCGACTAACTATTATCGACAACCGGCTCCGTTAGTACTATATAGAAAGCAATCGTAATAATACTAAGCTAGGATCTAGTAGTACCGCTAACTAAGGCCCTAATACTAGCCGTAGCTATAGTAATAACGCTAGCGGCTCTAGTAACGGACACCCTCTATAAGGATATACTATTCTACGTAATAACTAAGAATAGTTTACCTCGGCGAATAGTAACGGCACTACTACTACTACGACTACGACTGTCCGTAACCTAGACGCTATAGACCTCTCCGCTACTTAGGGTTAGGGTTAGGGTTAGGGTTAGGGTTAGGGTAATCGTCGCTATATAACGCTTAAAGAGAGAGATCGTCGCCGCCGCGAAGGACTATATCGCTTCTACGGTAGCAATTACGTCTACTCCGATACTACCTATCTAGAGCT